CTGACAGCCTTCTGATTCCGAGTCCTTGTACCTACGCATGGCGACCATTCGTTCGGTCTTTCTGTTTTGGAACTTTATTTGTTATTATACCTGTATCGTGACGTGAGTTGCTGTTCGGTGATTCCTTTTTCCTGAGACCGTATGCCCCCGCAAAATATCGATAGCGTTGACTCTTGTGTAAAATCTCGAAATTGAATAATCAAACTTTATTTGGAAGACAACACAACCTCGACAGCGGAACAACCTGCCAATGCGGAGTCTATAATTTTGGTGCCTTTTTACAGCGTCGATCACGTTTTGATCTACGTTACTGGTTGCGATGCACCACATTCCGGTGGTGCGCGATGCCCATCATAGTCATTGAGTATCGTCCATTCCACAGTTGCTGCTATCCTTGGCCTGCGTCTCTGATCTGGACACGTGTTGCCAACATATTGACGCACATTGCCAATATGTGGGAAACATACAGCAACATGTTAGCGCTGAGGCCAAAGCCAAAATATCCTGTCAGCATGTTCTTATATGTTGCAAACATGTTGGTGCACGTTGCCAACATGTTAGCCGTACGTTCGCAGGTCAGAGACGCACACCAAGGGTAGCAGCAACTGTGGAAGGAACGATAGTTTCACGTGTTCTCCTCTTGTCGATTGCTAGCGTGTCTTCCTTCTCTCTTCCACAATGTGTTCTACCCAAAGGTTACTTGCATTCATTGCATTCATTTATGAACACTCGAAAAATAGCGATAATTGACCATGGCAAATTGGATTTCAGAATTTGGTGATTTTTAGCCGTTTTTTGCGCTACAATAGAAACATAAATGCTCGCCAGCAAGGGGCTGAGTGCACTTCATGTGCTGCCCGTTAGATTCGTTGCGTAAGCCGGATACTGCATCAAGTACACGAAAATTTGGCTTATATTAGTTGAAGTGTTTATTTTGTTGATTGATTGATGTGTTTATTTTGTTGGTGCGTTTATCACTGGATGTTTTGTCTATGTGCTGCTCAACCATCATATATATCACAAACTGTAAATTGTGATATAATATCGCATTAAGCGTGGACAAAGTTCTGATTAGATGTGCTTTCTCGCAGCTAGGTATGGAAATTTTGTTACTTACAAGTCTGTACATTTCTGGAGGAACGGTAAACACCTTTTGGTGATCCCCTCCATATAGCAACCATCTTTTGTTGCAAGAATCCTTGTGTTTGGTAGCTTTATGCTATCGCGTTGGATTGTGTTGTATGTCTTTTGTGCGTGTTTTTTGAGTACAATCTAGTC